AATTGATTTTTCTAGAACTTATTTCTCTGGCAACTGTACATACATACATATGTGGTTCTACATAAATATGTAAATATATATGCTAAGCAATGGGTGTACTTAGCTTCGTTCACGGGTTTTTGGTAACGTTGGTGCGTCCTGATTGTTTTTGTTTCTGGTGGTGCGACACATTTTTTGTTGTTGTTGGTGGTGGTGGTGTGACTTGTTTGTTATTTTTGGTTTTCGATGATGAGGGTTTGTTGTTTTCAACTTTTTTCACAATTTGATTTCTACCGTGTTTGTTTTTTAAAAAAATATGTTGCTTATTTATACTTTTCAAATTATTTTGCTTATTTTATTTTTCTTTGTGAACAATACACATCTGGAATAAATTTTTTTTGTAATATAACTTTAATTGTGTATCTGCTTTCAGTTTCCAATAATTTTTTTGCTTTATAAGGTTTGCACAGCTTTAACTGACTGACAAACAAGCATATTTTAATCAACTCTTGATTTTCTTATAAATTCTCACTTTGTTTTTTGATATTTGCAAATTTTTCCCCCAATATTGTTTCACTCGTTTTTTTTTTGTTTTATACACTTTTCCCAATGTATTTCTTTTTTTTTTGTTCAAAATAGATTTAATTGTTTTAAGAATTTCACGATCGTGTGCGCCCGCTTCTAATTTACAACCATTTTCCACCTATAATTGAATTACTTTCCTTATGTTTTTAGTTCCAAAAAGGTTTATTTCAATAAATTCAACGATCGTATGCGTGTTATCCACAACCGTTCTTTACTTTCAATTCCGACAAACTGTTGGTTTTTATTCGTACATATGTATATACACGTATGTATGTATGTGATAGCCGTACTTTTTAGTGGTGCCAACTCTTTTTGATGGCTCCAAAGGACCATACTTTTTTGTTGAATGGGGATAGAAAATTGGCTGTTCCCAAGGAAAAAAGGAACTCAAGCTTTTTTTTTAAACATAATAAATTCAGGTTTAATCTTTATAAATTCAATTATTTGACATGGTATGATTTGCATATGTATGAATGTAGATTAAGTATTTAGAGTTAAGATTCATTTTACAAAGCTTAATAAAGTCATTGAGTTAATGTCGAATACACCGTTTAATATGTTACAAGATTATGTAACCAGATGTTATTGGTATAATTATTTAAATTGGAAAAAGGGGATACATATAAATTTTTTTTTTTTTTTTTCAATTATTTGACATGGTATGATTTGCATATGTATGAATGTAGATTAAGTATTTAGAGTTAAGATTCATTTTACAAAGCTTAATGAAGTCATTGAGTTAATGTCGAATACACCGTTTAATATGTTACAAGATTATGTAACCAGATGTTATTGGTATAATTATTTAAATTGGAAAAAATGGGATACATATAAATTTTTGTTTTTAATTCAAAAGACAATGAGCGATGCGGGATTCGTGTTGTCGATGCGATGGGGGTTCGTCGCTATTTTAGCCGGTTGGTTAATAGAACAAGGTGTTGCTAGTGCGGAACGTTAACAACATTGGGTAGCACATTGCGGCGTTGCCAGCTGAAGAGGATTACTCCGAAAACGTAAGGAGCTCCATATCCTCAACATGCGGCGTTGTCTTTTTATGTACATATGTATGTGTATTATTTTCGGGTTCATTGGTAGTAAACTATCGTAAGGGACCGCGGTAGAAAAGCCTCGGTGCGCGGACTTGGGAGTAGTTTTAAAATCTGACTTTTTGTTAGCTCTAACTACCGCAGCTAAGCAAAAAGAGGTAAAAAGGAAACAAAGGATTATAGTAGGAAATGGAATACAGCACGATCTAGGCGGCCAATTGACCGGTTCCGAACGTAAAATAAAATGCTCACCGAACTCGCCTCTTAATAAGTCCATTGCTACGCGTGCTGTGTGGCATATGACACCGTCTTGTTGAAATCACGTGTCGTGCAAGTCAAGCCCTTGTATTTTGGCCAAAAAGTTTGATATCATCTCACGGTACCTCTCACCATTCACAGTTACGTTACGAAGTACGGTCCAATGATGCCACCAGCCCATAAATCGTACTAAACTGTGACTTTTTCTGTATGCATTGGTAGCTCTCGCAATGATGGCTGATTTTCGATCCAAAATCGACAAATCTGATTATTTACGCTCCCATTAAACCAAAACTGAGCTTCAGAGCACGCATATTGATAATAAAATTCATGGTAAAATTATAGACTCAACTGAGGATGCTTGACAGTGACACAATACACGATACGTGAGTCAACTGTTTAAACCAGTGTTGCCGAAAGGATAATAGCTTAAAAATCACCCTTTGTTATGAAAAATTTCGAAAATGTCTATCATAAATAATTTTTAGTTTTGGAAGCATTTCGCTTTGGTCAAAACATATGTACATACAAAAACATACATTTTACCATAATATTTATCATATAAACTTAAATTAATAATTTATTGCCAATAAATATATATACAGCCTTGGTCAAAAGTATTCGGTACCCCACTAATTACTGAATTTTTTGTTTAACAAGTGATGTAATGAAGTTTTATTAGTAAAACAGTGAAAATACAATGAACTAGTGATAATAATATTAATATTTAGTAGGCCCACCTATTGATTTAATAACGGCAGGAATTCTCCTAGGCATGCTGCGTACAAGCTTTACACATACGTTCGCACTTATAGCGTAACACTCGTTAATTTGGGCAGTTTATGATGTTATACTGTGTTCCTTAATCTTGATTTTTAAAATAAACAACACTGTTTAGGCCAATCTAACAAAAAAATGTTGTTATATCTAAACCAACGCATCGCAGTCGCTGATTTGTGGCAAAGAGCATTGTCTTGCTGGAATTGAACCCCGTCTAAACTAGTATCGCCGAAAATGCGCGTTAACGAAGGCAGAAGAACAGCGACCCTCGCAAATGAACGTTTCGCCGACGCCATCAACAGCCATGCAGCCCTTGATCATGATGCTGCCTTCTTCATGCTTAACGCAATATGGATGATATTCCTCCCTAACCCGTATTATGTCTTGAAAATTGCTCTAGGGTAAGAAGCTATGGCTGTTAATACTTTACGATCTTAACTAAGCCCACCTCGCAGTTTGATTCACCACACCACAGTACATTCGACCAATCTTCTTCCGTGAAATGTTGGTTGTTTACTAAGAAAATTTTTTGCGATCCTTGGGAGACTCGCATATACTTATACCTATCTCAGTCTTCTCGGTTACTGGTTAGACGCCTCAAACTAAAAGTTTACCTTCTTTACTTAGAACTTGAATTCTAACTCTACAATCGTAACTAATTTCACTTGTTTTATGATTAAGTGATAACTTTGATAGAAACATTTGAGAATACTTGTATTTTAGTGGGGTGCCAAATACTTTTAGCCAAGGCTGCACATATGTATAACATACTTAAATTTTCGCATTTATTATATTTGCATTGCATGTACATAATTACTTATATCCTTAAACATATGCGCGTCCCCTATGTACCAGCAGCGCTCACCAACGAAATGAAACTGACTCCATTTCTTTTTCACACATTTTCTGTATAAGAGGAAAAATCTTGTTCATCGTCGTTTAGTAATTGCGTTCGTTGAAACACGAGCAGCGTGTTATCGAGATGTAAGTTGATCCAATGGTTGGTAAGAAGGATTAGTTTTTGGACTAACCCAAGGGACCATAAGTTCCAAATATTATGCGTACTTGTTCTTTGTATGAATGGATATGATTTGAGAGTTTTGTAACTACTGTTATTAAAAGCCAATAAACAAAAGTTTATAGAGTCGGTAATTTTTTATAATAGCCATACGCTTGCTTACATTTCTCTGCATATGTACATGGACAGTTGGTGACGTTTGTCTCTCTGAAACTCACCAACTTTCCATCTGATGATTCACAACCTCTCGAAACTTTCAATTCGCAAATGATCAATTAAGAAATTAATATCTAATATATAAAATTCTCGCGGCCCAGTTAGACATGATACTCCTCCGAAACGGCTTTACCGATTTTAATGAATTAAAAAAATCGATGCACATACATTTTTTTTGATAACCATTTTTTAATTTTTATAGGATTACAAAATACTCATATTCCCAAATTTTCACCCTTCTGTCACCAACCCCTTATTTTTTCCAAACAAAAAATTTTATCCCAAGTTTTTGATCAACATTTTTTTATGCGAAGCATAGACCGAGTGTATGCTCTCCGCGCAATGTTATTATTCTGTGGCTACGGGTTACAAGCTATTCTTATACTTTCAAGCATAGATCCGATCGACATTTACGTGCCAGCTTTGAGTAGCGAGGAATACTCTAGTATATATACGAGTATATACGTGTATGTAATATGTACATATATTTAATTGGGGTTTTGTAACTGCTAAAGCGATTTGCGGCCAAGCTCCTACTCCAATTTGTGGATTTGCGTCTTTAGATTTTTCCAACAAATGGAGGGACCTAGAGTACGAAGCCGTCTCCGAACGGCTGATGATTTTTTATGAGAAATACACTCGGTGGATTTAACATTCCCAGCCGAGGGGCGACTGCAAGCAAAAAATTTAATTTAGTTTTTTATTTAAACTAATTTTCTGTAACATTTGGATGTTGGTCGTACCAGGATTTGAACCCGGGCCTTCCAAATGCAGCTTGGAATGTGAACCACTTGGCTACTGCGGCCGTCATTTGGATTAGTCAATTCTCATTCTCTCTCACCAAGTTTAACTTCTGTCCTGTACACTCCTGCTGCACGATATTTTTCTTATGCCAGTTACTTGTTAGATTCACTACTCTTTTGAAAGGTTATATTAAGATTATTGTATTTACTATCCCACATATTTGAGTAAATAGATGAGTTGTTTGCGAAGTTCGTTCCGAACGACAACGAGGATCGACTGGTAAATGGAATATACACATAGATGTATTTACTTATGGCTATATTGATATACCTCATTTCTACATATGTATTTATATATATGAACTTTTCTTGCAGGCTTTGACTTTCTGTGGAGTACTGCTTGTACTGTATGGCTTACTTAGCTCTGTGGCACCCAATTTTACTTGGCTAATAATTTTACGAGGACTTGTTGGTTTTTCGATAGGTTGTGTTCCGCAATCGTAAGTATGCATTTGCTTAGTATGTTATATAATAATAATTCATTTGAAATTTTGTATGTGTATTTTGTAAGTATTAGACGCAGTCTTTTAAAACTTACACGTATACAAACTCTTTTTCGATTGCCGATCAGCTAAACATTGCATAAAAAGCAGTTTGGAACCTTTTGAAAAGGGCTGGTTACACATGCTGATGATGCCACATGCGTTAACATTTGGAAGCCTCATGATCGAATTTACATCTGCGAATCACTGAAAAATTGTTATATATGGGGGTGTCGGTTGGTAAAAGCTATAGTGATTAGCAGGCACGGTGGTGTTATCCCGCGGGAGGTTCTTTTCATTACCTCACCTACTGGATTCAGACATGTGGAAAAAGAAATCGAATAGGAGGGGAAGAATGAAAGAAAGAAAGAAAGACCTGTCTTGTGCCTCAATGTAATGCCTCCCACAAAAATCGGGAGTAATTACTTCTCTATATTCAATCCCTCAAATTTTTTCAAATCCAAAACTTTTAATAACTATTTAATTTTATTTCACTCATATTATATTTAATTGTATGTATCAATAATTATACATATGTATATAATATATTTAAGAATTATATATTAACATACTCGTATGTTTTTTATTTATTTAATACATATATTTGCAATCTATTCATAGAACAATAAGCATATTATTTAACAATGGGTATTCGACTTATAATATTGATCTCCAGTGAGTACAATAATAAAACATTACTCAGGTACAAACGTATTTATACATATAATAACTCATGCTTATTTACAAAAAGATAATCGTTACATCAATTAAGTAATATTGTTGAATAATTTGTTTTAAATTAATTTCTAAAGGGCAGTTTTAGAACATGATGTGTTTTAAGTCTTATGAGTTTATTAGTTTCATCCAATAACGAAATATTGTAGCTGGTATATTACCATATAGCTAATTCTGATGTACATTGCGTATGTAAAATTGAATATTTTAACTCACCTTGTTGTTCCGCTCTGATAATATACGAACAATAATGTAAATTACAAGATGAAACATATGAATTGTGAAATCAGCAAAATTAAATATGAGTTTTAACAAAGAAAATTAGCACTTAATATTAAAAAGAATAAAAGCAAATTGTTATCCAAATTAAATTCAAGATTAATAAGAAGGACAATAGTAAAGGAAAAGAATTTGAAACACGCAATAAACTAAAATAAAATAAATCTGCAACTGTAAAAACAGTATAAAGCAAAAGATAATAACTATAGAAATAGGTATTAGGATTAAAAATTAAATATCTATCGCTCACAAAAGGGATTAATTTTAATACTAGATTTGCGGATGTGATTGTATACCTATATTTACTGAAGTGAGTCAATTAGACTCATACATGAAAGTTTAAGCTTTTTGCAAAAAAAGGAGTTCCAAATTAAAAAAATGCATGGAAAACTTCTTCTTTATTGACGTTGCCACCGCTTACGCGATTATAGCCGAATTAATTAGATCGTACAGCTTCTTACGCAAAAACTTTCTCTCGAAAACTCATAACATCGACTAATTGAATGTTGTCCCTGCTCCCGCACCATATAGCAGACGGGAACGATGAGGGACTTGTAGAGCTTGTTTAGATGCCACATGCGTTGACGATGGAAACCTCATGACCGAATTTACATCTGCGAATCACTGGAAAATTGTTATATATGGAGCTATAGTGATTAGCAGGCACGGTGGTGTTATCCCGCGAGGTGTTCTTTTCATTACCTCACCTACTGGATTCAGACATGTGGTAAAAGAAATCGAATAGGAGCCTCGAATGTAATGCCTCCCACCAAAATCGGGAGCAATTACTCCTTTCAAATTTTTCCATCCATCAAATTTTGTAGAACTTGTTTTTCGTTCGTAGAGAGATTCAATTGCCTACTCAGTCCAAAGTAGCACCTGTTGGCCAGAGTGATTCTGCGCTGGATTTCAAGGATGAAATTGTTATTGATTTGATGCTGATTTCTAGATAGATGAAATTATCTACGACTTCAAAGTAATGAATTTCAACAGTGACGATAACTCTTTATTTGATGACAATATATATTTCGTCCTGCTCTCATTCACTACACACAGACACATTTGCTTCTCTTCTCTGTCGAGTCTGGAGAAAGTAAAACTCACGGCGCGGTTGTTGAGGCTGATAATGTCAATATCATCGGCATCGGTCAGTAGTTGTACACTCTTATAGGATATTGTACCTTCTCTATTCAGTTCTGCAGCTCTTATTATTCTCTTCAGTAATTTGTAGGAAAAAGGTCAACCTGTCTGAAAACTCGATTGGTACCGAACGGCTCGGAGAGGTCCTTCCCAATTCCGACTGCACCAAATTCAGACATAGGGGCGTATAGGCAGCTCCCTTTCTTGCTGTCGAAAGCTTCTTTAAAATCTATGAAGAGGGCGTGGATTTATATCCTATTTTCACGCATAGTGAATATCTAGTCAATGATGACTTAAATGCGATGTTAAGGATGCGTATCCCACGCTAGTTGGCACAGACTGTAGGATCGCCCGTTTTGTGGATTGGGCATAGTACACCTGGGTTCCAATGGACGGGATTGCTTTCATCCGACCATATTTTGCAAACAAGCTGATGCATGCACCTTGTCAGCTCTTCGTCGCGATGCTTGAATAGTTCTGCTTGTAGCCCGTCAGCCCCAGCCGCAAGAGTTTGCTCCGGTGATGAAACCTTCCGTAAGTCATCGTATCTTCTTATAGAATTTTCGAGTATTACGCTTGTCGGACGATCGCAAGGTTGTGAGGTAGGCAGTCTGTTTTCTATTCACAGCAGTCCGACATTCCTTATCGTACCAGCTTTTTTTCTGGCACTGCCGAAAACCAATGGTTTCGGTAGTGGCTATATTTAGGGAGTTTGAGATGCCGTTCCCTTATATAAAGGTTTGATTAGTGCTCTCAGAAAGCAGCTATGCAGCTGCTATTGTGCAGTAGAAAATCGCTAGGCAGTCTGTTGTGATTGGAGCTTTTCGACGACGAACCTTCTTTATGTTTGCTGACGAATGTTTTTTGATACACCCTGGCGTTGAAGTCCACAATTTTGAAATCATGGTGGGGGCAGCGCTCATAAGTATGTTCAAGGTACTCATAAAAGTTATCCTTGGTCACATAGTCCTTTTCTTCTGTCGGGGAGTGGGCGCAAATTAACGATATGTCAAAGAATTTGATTTTAAGAGGATGTCAGCCAGCTAGGAAGCTGCACCTTCCCAATTAAGGGACCGCACATTTCAGCTTCATGCCCTCAAGTCGTAAACCTTAAAACATTTGCGTCAAAAAAACATGGTCGTCATCAAAAGTGGGATCTCTCATCCAAAGCATAATCTAAATTTCCATTGGAGTTTATTTTTGATATGGTGGGTGCCAATCCCTACGCACAATCGCATGGGATTCGCCTTCTCACTTTAGCTCGCCTCCAAACGGATGTTTGTTGTCTACCTAGGGGATACTTGTTTTAAGACCGTAAGTCGTTAGCTGCTTGAACCATATGCAAAAGACTCGTTTCTGGCCATTCCCAGGTGAATGGCAGTCAAAAACTTGCCCCACTTTTGTGATTTTCTTCACATGGCCCCACCCCCATGCATGGAAAACATCTGGGCGAAAAAAGGACCCCTCTTCGCAGACCACATATGCTCCTCTAGCAAAAAGCTATAAAGGCCCTAAATTGTGATTTTGGATCCGCCCATTTCTTATTATTCAAAACATGACTAGCTTGGAGTTCGACACATGATTTTGCATAGGCCATCATACATTTGACAATTATCAAATTGAATGCGCCACTTAAAGTTGGACAAAAATGTCTATGAATAAGTTAAAATTCGGTGATTTACCTACGCTTCTGCCTTCGTTCAATGTTTCCCATAAATTCTCACCAGTAGCTTTTTCGACTGAAATTTCTTTATCAGAAGATGTATCGATAGCGTCTAAAAAAATTAATTAAAATTTAGAATCAGAAACAAACCTGGCTCTATCTTTGTTAGGAGCTACATATATAATATAACTAAGTTCTTCATCTGCTTGAAGATTTAATTTTATTGACTTCTTCTACTAATTCAACTTCATTATCACATTGATCTATGTCAATTGTATCCGATTCATTGATTAGTCATTCTTTAATTTTATTATTTTTTTTTTAACAAAATTTAATTTTTCTGATTTTTTCCCTCTAGATAATCAGATGAAGTTAAAGAAGTTAAAGAAACAAATTACGCGCGACTTGACTGTTGTTGTTATGCGAAACCATATATAGAATCCGCAAAAACCCGCTGTTTACTATGGAAATTACTATAATATACTATAAATATAATAAAAAAAAACTCCGGTACGTCTTGTGGTAGTTCTGTGCTGCTCTGTATCGTCTCTGCTTGTTCCAAAGTCATGCGAGTGCGTGCATTGGTCTCTTTCCAATGGCCTTCTTTGCTCAGCTGATCCGAATTTTTTTGTTGTCAATATTGTTTGAAACCTCTTCCGGAATTCTGCATTGTTTTGCAAAATTTAAATTATTGCAAAAAAGGTGATATTATTTGATATTTATTTTAATATTATTTACGTATGCTTGAATTATTTATTTATTGGGACATATTCGGATTTTCTACTGTTCAAGCGTGCGCATCAACATACTGGAAAGCCCCGTGTATTATGTTCACACCCTAAGACGTACAAACCAAAGAAAGGGATAATATTATATTTCATATCAACACGTCGGCAAAGGCGCACGGGGCGATATATTTCAAATTAAATATAATAAAATTCATCTAATTAAAACCATTTTGTATTCAATTAACTGAAATAAATAATTGTCTTCTTTGTCTTCGATTAACGCTATCTTCAAACTGTTGATCCTGCCAAAAAGAAAAAAAATGTTAAGTGTTGATAAAAATCTCGCGAATTAACGTCTGCTCTCACCAACTTCCATAAAACTTACATTCATAAACTGCTTTATCATAACACAGGATCTTTGCACTTAAAAGTATGCAAAATTACAGCGGCATTTCCATCCGGTAGACAAACACATACACACACAAGCCAGAAAAGTTTTATTATGTGTTTGCTGTTATTGAGCGGCTCCACTGTGACCAAACTCTCAAGTGCCCAGCTTTGGCCACTCACATCGGTAATGACTCGCCTGAAGCTCCGAGAGCTCAGTAGGAAGATTCCTTACCTTACCTTACCGAATAACGAAAACAAAAACAAGAAGTTTTTTTTTAAACATTCGTCACATGCGTGAGGACATCGATCGTGTGGATGTAATAAATAAGAATATCTGTTGGAATATTTTCCTTCTTTTTGAACAACTACAACAGTTAGCATGAGAAATCGTAATTATTAGTAGAATATAGGTTACAAAAAGCGCGGCAATTTCCAACATTAACAATTGGAACTAAATAGTGAAATTCCCTTTGTATCTTTAGACATGTTAGTTCAGAGTATTACTGTTACAAGGGTGCTCAATCTAATTTGCTCATTTTCAAATTTTATTATTCAAATTGGAATCGTAAGGAAATACAGCTGTCTTTTCGAAATATTGTAATTGATCTTCGAAATGAAAATAATTCATATGGTGAAATTACTAAAACTGTAAATTTAGCGGATCACATAGAGAAATGTTCGAATATTAATGTTCATCTAAGAACTGTAGGCAATGAATTCCCCGGCCAAAAAGACAGTAGCATTCCTTAAATTTCCAGTAGACATGGGCAGATATGAACCTTCATCTTGTGTCATGGTGTTAGTCGTCATTCAATTTCAACTACAACAGTTTCGTATTAAATGAAACATGTATCAATGCACATATGAAATAAAAATCAAGTGAATGCTCTAAATTTTGTATGACAACAGATTGTTGGACATCGCGTAGCTTATTTGCCTTTCCAGCACATTTTATAAGTACAAATTTTGATTTGTGTTCTTTTGTATTGTTGTCCATTGACTGAAACGCATGCTAATCAAATTTTATTTGCGGTAGCTGCCGATGCTTCAAATATTAAAACTGCAATTGAGAACCTTTAAAGTGACATGGCAAGTCTTGGATGTTTTGCACATATGTACATTCAATCTTATAGTGGAAAATGAGGTAAATAAAGATACTTATTCAAAGTATAAAAACAATAAATATCATAGAGCGTTTTGTGCAAATTGAAGCCACTGCTAAAAATATAATTATACTGATAAAAAATTATTTTCCAGTAATTACCGAATGGCTTTTATTCGAAGATCGAGTATCAAGCGGCGAAAAATATCCCGGTTCTTGTGAAATCTGTTATATCTGTTTTGTTGAGAGATTTAAATAAAATATTTGGAAATATTGAAAAGAGCAATGCGCTTAGAATGGATGTCTTTTAGTCTCTGAATTTAAAACGTTTGTCTTTCCTATAATAGCTGATCTTGCAAAAAAAAAAAAATCCACTACTGCCGATTGGTCAAAGTCAAGCAAATTATGACTCAAGTGTGTTAACTCACAAATTGTTAGAAAAATTCGAATATTGCTACTAATACACCAAACGCACATTTAGAGTAATTATCGAAATATAGAGATATTTCCAAGATGAAGTCACGTCCTGAACAGAAGATTCATTGTAGTGGTGGAGAACTAATAGAGATAAATAAAAACGATTTTGAGCATCAGTACCTTGCTAAAGATTATTTTCTACGGCCGGAACTACTAAATGAAATGCATCAACTTTTCTACTGTTTTTGCGCATCCATCCATCCATGGTCACAAACCGTTACTACGAACTCACTGATATAATATAATCAATCTCCATCAATTTTCGCAATTGTAGAATTCCTTGCATTCGCATCTTCAACGCTGTCAATATTTTAAATGGTGACATCTTTGCTTTACGTGGTGGAGTGTTGAGAAATTATTGAACACGATTTACTTCTGTTCACTAGCTCCAAGAGTTTCCCAAACTCTACTCTCCTATCATCAGTTACTATCAATAAATGTTCAATTCAAATTCAAATATCAAATGTTCAATTCCCTCAATCTCACAATAATCTGTTATTCAGTTATTGTATCCTTGGGATTTTCAACACTGCTGATTATTCCTTCCGCCGCTTCTTATACAGCAATCAATATAACCTTAATTTTCGTCGGAGGCGCTGAGTTACTCTCTGAAGTGAATGAAAGGAATCACCTTGGCTTCCTCTTCCACAAAAAGACATCCGTACGTACTCATATTACTCCTTAATTTTTGTATCTGTGACGGTCCGTTAACTTCTTCACACTTTCCACATACACAGGTGCTCTTGCATATTCAAAACCATTGTGGTATTACAAACAAAAATCGAATCTTCGGCAACATACGTACATATATATATAATATAATTGTGCTTCAATTTGTGAAAGGCATCTTGATGATTTCCAAGAAATGAAGAGGCCTACATTTTACGCTAAACCGCTTCAAACGACTTACAGTTTTTTATGAGATGCTTTTATTTTAAGTCATAAATACACTCGGATGTTGGTCGGACGAGGAGGGAGTAAGCAATTCTAACCAGTATCGCGGCCGCAAATCTATGGTAATAGAGCATACAAAAACCTTCCGCTGGACCTAATCCAACTTGCCCCGCTCTTCCAAACCGCCTTAAAGCTTCTCTGCTTTACATACGTCATACATATTGGATCACTTTCATACTTCGCTCGTTTGAGAAGTTTCTTACAATTAGTCGACCGGTGAGCCCTTTTTATGCAGTTGTAGCATATAACATCAAAACGGAAACATTTCTTCTCTGTCTCATTCTGATTTAATTCAACTTTCGCTTAAGCTGCAGGCTTACCTTTGTGCAACGGCGAATACTGCTGACGATGGAACGACGAGCTGTACGATGAGCTAGGTATATGATGATTTTGACTTAGTTTAGTAAATGCTAGGTCAAATCGTCCCAATGAATGAAAGCACTACAGCTTTGAAAGTATTGGATGCAGTACTCGCTGGTGGCAGCAGAGGAGGAGGAAGACTTCCACTCCGTTGGAAGGATAAGGTGGAGAGTGACCTAGTTTCACTTAGTATTTCCTAATGGCACCAAACAGCGAAAAGAAGGGGAGATGGCGCGCTAATATTGATTCGGCTATAATCGCGTAAGCGGTGTCAAAGCCATAAACCGCTCGCAAACCTTTTCGCTCGAAAAGTCCCAGGCCCACCTCATCGGATTCTGACATCGTCTTCTCTTCTGTATAGTTTGGTTTTGGTTCGAAAGAGGACTTTACGTTTCTATCGCCTCCTCAAAGCAAAGTAGCACCTTATGGCACGAATTAATCTGCGTTGGATTTCTATGGATAAACGAAATTTTCTACGACCTCGAAAATGGTCACAGTCGGGCAATGGGATGTCTTTTCCATCACCATCAAGTGGGGTCTCGAGGTCGGAATATATCATGTTCTTTCAATAAAGACAGATATTTTTGGTTATTTCGTTAAAGAAAGTGTTTTTCGCTAGGTATTCGCTTACGTATAAAAAAGTTCTTAAAAATTGTGTATAAGATGGCGTATATACTCAACATAATGGTGGTCCTACGGCATTAAGACGTAATTCTTTGGCAAGTTTTACTGGTTGTTCATGCGCTCTGCCGTTAAATTCTTTTAAGCCGAACTCAATTTGTCCAAAAATATTCTTAATATTTAAAAAAATTTATCTATCTACATTTATAATTTACTTACATTTTTCTCTATTTGCTTAGATTTGCACGCACTCGAATACAATTTTGTGAAATAAACGTTTGTTCAAGTGTACGCCAAAATTACGTTTCGAGTTATACGTTCACGAATTTCATAACTCGACATAAGCAATTTGATACCAAAAAACAGAAGTCTGCCAGAAAATTAACAACCTTGTTAATGAGAGCAAAATGTCAAAATTTTGAATCCAGGTTTTAAGTAAGCATTCCGTTCTTCCTTTTTTAATTCTGTCCCCATTGTGATAACACCGTTGTAAATAGACATTTTAATTATAATCTGGCAGTTTGCTCTCAAGTTAAGACCTGGATCCTCCTAAATCGATAGAGTAGGTAACTTGACTATGTTTCATTATTATTTCAATATGAGAGACCTTGATGCCAATGTAGATAACATCATCATCAACATCGGTTATCAAGATTTTGTAACCAAAACTTGCAGGGGTAGTGAATTCTAGTAAGTTTGATAGGTTGATTTATCTTTAAAAAAATTTGAGCTGCCACGGAACGCCTGTCAGGTGTGAAACATGGACATTATTTTGTAAAAGTAATATGCAGAAAAGAACAGATTGTGATAGGAACTTTAAATATGTCATAATGATAAAACAAAATATTACGATTTTTTCCACATAACGATTACTGTTTATTGAAAAAATATTTCTTTTCATTAAATACAAAAATTTTCGAATTTATATCAAATGTAGTCACGATTCGTTTAATCAGTGACTTCAGTAATGGTTATATTCGATGTTGCCTCTGAGAACAGTATTACTGTGACAATTGGTCGATGGTTACCGAAGTATGTTACAAAAGTATTAGATACAACTTTATCAAGATATCTGTATCTATTTGGCAGTAAGTTCTCTTGGATTGTTATTAATTTGCAATTGAAATCCTTTTTGGAGAAAGGCAATTAATGGCGTTGATTCATCTTTTGCAAAGTTTACATTGGTATCCCCAGTTAAAATCAATGGTTTGTGTTTATTGGTTTTGTAAATTATTGAACCTCTTAGACTGAACGGAAATAATTTTTCGTGTAAAAATGAAATGATATCATTTATTTTTTTCTTGGGAGAAATGTTCGAAACAATTCATCAATGGTGGTTTAAATAAAGAAAAACTGTTATTCACTTCAAATTAAGTAAAACCATTGGAAATAGAAAACAATGATTCATTAATTTTTTAATTGTATTTCATGCTGCAATTTGTTGTTATTTCATAAAAAACGTAAAAATTGTTAAAATTTGAGAATCTTTTTAACCACCTTTTTTATATATGATATATTTTATTTTTGATTCATTATTTACAAATCTACTAGAAATTTATATATTGTGTAAATATTTTTTTTTTAAATGAGTATGAAAAATATTTAAACATTAATATTATATTTTGTCACCTTCCAAGAGATTTTGAACCAGCCCCAGAAACTAAACACCAAAAAACAAATACATATGATATGTGCATATGCACACGCTACAACTACGCCGCAG